AAATGTCTCAATGTTCATTGTATGCAGGATCCATTCATCCATAGGTGCTCATCTAACCTTTAAAGGTCCAGGTATTGTTTTGCATTCTAAGTTGGCATTTTTAAAAGCTAGAGATTCAATAAGTACTCATCTAGCATCTGGGTCTGTTACTCCTATTTGTACAGCCTTACGTAATCTTTGTAAAAATTCAGTAAAGGGTTCTCTCTGGCCCTATTTAACCCTGGTATATGATTCAATTATTTTTTTTCTAGTTATTGAATCCTGTCCCAAGCATTTAAGGCTGCTTTAATGGCATAGGGACAAGATTTGTTCATCTTAAAAAGCTTGAACCTGTGGGTCAGCATAAGGGCCTTCACCAGGAATTTGATCTTGGGAATGCTCAAGACCTTTTGCTTTTCTCTATGGTTCCAATTTTTTTTGCCTCTTCTCTGAAATAAATTCTAAACATTAATTGAGGCCCATCATCCATGACTGCTGAAACAAATCATGTGGTGTTGCTTTAATGCTAGAAGACCATGTCTTTATCATCTCCCTAACAAATACAGAATGCAAACTGCAAGTTATACCAACCTGCTTAATTTCTTTTAGATCATTCATTTCTATAGGTATTCATCTACCTTCTTTGGATCCTTTCGGGCCTTTAGAACTTGATGCTTCTTCAGAGTAGATTACAGGGTAGGAAGCTAAAACCATTGGCAATTCATATCTGACAGCTACTTGTGATGATGTTGAATCCTGTCCTTGTGCCTTCTTTCCCAGTTCATCAGCTCCAATAATTTCCACAATTATTTCAAATTGTTTTACTATTGTCTTTTGCAAAGGCTGAATCTCCTGGCCTGTATATATTTCTAGTGATTTCATTAAGGCACCAAGCCTCTGGTCCTCATTCTGCATTTGTGATTCCAAGGTCTGAAATTTCTCCTTTAAAGATAATATCTCACACTTGGACATTACTTGAATGGCATGCAGATTGCCATCCTGGAGAGATAGATACTCTATCGGCTAACTTAATCATAACTTTTTAACAAATTTTGATTGTCAAAATTCAACAGAAGGAATTCTTTCAAATAACTTCTTAGTACCCACAGATATGGATTCAATTTTGCCTGTCAAATTAATGTTATCCTTATAAACAGTAATATTTTTTTCAGGTAATTTTTGATGGTATTAATCCAGTCAACTAGCTGTTCATTATTAAAAGACTGTACCATTATGTAAAGACTGTACCATTCTTAAAAGTGCAATATTCTTTGTTAATGATAGAATATGGAGAAAGCCGAGTCCCAATACCCAATAAATTGAAGTATCACAATAACCATATAAGCCTCATATAATACAATCCATAGCATTAGCAAAAAAGTTACTAAAAGTTTCAATATTAATGTAGTGTGCCATATTGATTTATTAATTATCTGTTATGTGATCTGGTAAACTGTAATCTTTATTGTCCAGCAGATGTCGTGATTGCAGAGTTGCGACTAGAAGCAATGCAACCGGTGGCGACAGGAATGGTTGCTTTAGTTTTCCACCTTGGTGCTGGTTAAATACTGAGAAATATGCTTTGCTTGACAAATTAAAAGCAATTAAATCAATTCCATATACAAAGCAAAAAGACTTGTGGGAAGGGATCAGAAACTGGAAGCTGTACAACTCGCCACTAGGCGAGGAATCGTGCCGGGGAACACAGCAGTCATACGTGAGCTTGGGAAACTTCCATGTTGCCACATGCGGTAAACTCCACTGCGGTGTGGGTTCTAAAAAATGGCTTAGGCAAAAGCAAGCCAAGCGGGCAGGGTTGGGAGATTGTCTGGGCCCTGGACCAGCTAGGCCTTTAGGCTGTCTACCCAGTATGCATAGAGTCTGAATCCACATGGGCGCCAAATGAAGAAGGAAGCTAAAAAGAAATCCCACACTAGCTCAGAATTGAGAAATAGTCATTTATTTAGGGGTAGACTCAAAAATAAGAATCCTCTGCTTGAACGAAGATCAGAAACTGAATCCCGCAGCCGGAAAATAGACCAGACACATGCTCTACTTTGGCATAAATAGTGTAAGAGGCGGGTGGGTAACCAGTGGCGGTAAGACTTCCTACAGCAGTTAGCACAGTGCAGTATTTTTATGAAAGAGTCCACATTCACATATTTTACTACTGACTATTGCTACAACTGGCTGCTTTTTAAATTTTACTCTGTCTAATTTATCAATTAAACTCTAACACAGATATGTAAGTATTGGTGAAGGTGCACACCAAGTGAAGGCTGAACAGTCAGGATTGTCTCAGTTCAAGAATGCCTATTTAACATGAGAGGCTTCTCTTGGGCCCTTCACAATGAATTTGTAAACAGTAACGAGAAACCACTGTTTGCCCCATCCAGTCCTGATCCTTCTCTTCCTGCCTCCACTCTATCCACCTAGCCAACTAGATAAGCTTTGGTTTGGCAATGCAAGTCCCGCATACTACTTTAATCCCTGCTGTGTGGAACAGAAGATACACGGAAATATCTGTTGAATAAAGGGCATCATCATCCAATAGAACCAATGAAATAACTGCTAAACATGTCAGGACCCTCACAAGAATCTGTCCCATAATTTCCTGCAAAGTTTTTTTTTTCCTCCTCCTTTCTTCCTAGTCTCCAGTATTAAGAATTTTCCTTTATCCCCCTACGGCTACTCAACATTCTGCCCTAGACTAATCCATTCCATAGGCTCCTTACCCCCAATTTAGCTTATACAATTTATTAGTTCTCCAAGAAAGACAAGCCCATATGCCTTCTAAGGACTTCCTGCCAATCAACAAGGAAAGAGATCATGGAATACAACAATGACTTATATAGAATTTCTAGATGTGGTAGTTCTTCACTGTTCATGAATGCTACCTAGCCGAGGAAGTCAGCAAAACAAACAAACAAACAAAAACCACATTCTATTCCTGACAACATGGTCAAGAAAAACTGAATCGCAAAGGGATAGATGGGGATAATAACTCATTTTCTGCACCAAGGTCCAGATACAACACTTCTATTTCACAGACCAAATAGGAAGAGAGGGCCAACTTCTGACCTCCATGCATTTATGCACACATACACCAAAATTAAAATTAAAAAAATACCTCTAAGCGATGAGCAATCTGCATGCCATTCAAGTAATGTCCAAGTATGAGATGTTATCTTTAAAGGAGAAATTTCAGACCTTGGAATCACAAATGCAGAATGAGGACCAGAGGCTTGGTGCCTTAATGAAATCACTAGAAATATATACAGGCCAGGAGATTCAGCCTTTGCAAAAGACAATAGTAAAACAATTTGAAATAATTGTGGAAATTATTGGAGCTGATGAACTGGGAAAGAAGGCACAAGGACAGGATTCAACATCATCACAAGTAGCTGTCAGATATGAATTGCCAATGGTTTTAGCTTCCTACCCTGTAATCTACTCTGAAGAAGCATCAAGTTCTAAAGGCCCAAAACTAAAATTAAAAAAAAAAAAATACTTTAAACAATGAGCCAAAAATAAAAAACTGAAAAGGAACCTAAAAAAGGTTCCAGTAATCACAATAAATACAGTCCTCTGAATACCTGATGTGAGAGGGTACTGAAATATGGAGACCATGACCAGGGGCTCACTCAGTACTGACTCGGTCCTCTCAAGGAAAGAATTCCAGAAGATGTGCTCTGCTGATTTCCTAAGCCCAAACTGAAAACAAAGTTGCAGACCGCAGTATTTTGATATTTAGGTAAATAGCAGGGTGGCACTGAGTCAGAAGTAAAGGCAAACAGCACTTGGCACAAAAACCTAAACAGCTAGGCAGGCTGACATACCCTGTAAATTCTCTGCAGATGGGGAGGGGGTGGTAGGGACATCAGGAGTTCAAAGCCAGCCTCTGCCACACAGTGAGTCTGTACCAGCCTGGGCTTTAACTAGCTAAATAATGTGGTGGGACACACCATTCCACAGGGCACTGAGTGGCTGAGAAAAGAAACCACAGGCAGAACCCTCTGGAGGAGACAATTCACTCAGGAATAGTCTCATCCAATTCCAGATTGGTGTGGCTCTTCAGCACCTGTGGTATCAGTGTGTCTCCACTGTCTTTTTTTTTTTTTTTTTTTTTTTTTGGTTTTTCGAGACAGGGTTTCTCTATGGTTTTGGAGGCTGTCCCGGAACTAGCTCTTGTAGACCAGGCTGGTCTCGAACTCACAGAGATCTGCCTGCCTCTGCTTCCTAAGTGCACCACCACTGCCCAGCCTGTCTCCACTGTCTTAACGCTACCTCCCTTCCACTTAGACACAACAAATAAATTAGACAATCAAAATGTCAGAAGGAAATTTCAATTTCTTCTTCACAGGTTTTGTCAAAAGTTTGGCTACAGGATACACTGGTCATTAGAGTGGGCCTAACAGCCCTACTGCCCATCCATTTCCCTGACCCAACAACACACATTTTATTCTCAACGCACTGAAGAACTCTGTATTTGATCTACAATGCTCTTTGTTCTATAACGCTGCTTAATTTCAGCCTGTAGCCAACATTAAAATCCATGATGGGAAACGGATAACACAAAATTCACTAGCACTCATTGTGGGGACATCACCACTTACTGCTCCTTGTGGAAAGAACCACCAGAGCACTTTACCTCTGCTAGGGCCAAGCAAAACTGGCTTTCTCCTGAATCCAGGCTTGTTTTACCTCATGGGTAATACGAACCTCAGGTCCATAGGGATACTTTTCCTTTTGTCTACCAGGAAGCTGCAGCCAAGCTAAACACTAGACTTAGGGTCTCAGCACCCCTTTCTAACATGAACTTGTCTAGTGACCGCCTCTCGCCCACTACTATCTTGTTCCTGTTTCTCTCATGCCCAGTCTTCTATCTTGCTGTGTTAACTGCACTCCAGGAAGGTAGTCCACTCTAGAGAAGAACAATGACAGATAGGAGGGAGAGGAAGGCTAGGTTCTCTCCCTCTCCAGATGATGAGACCTGAGCTTCCCAGGGAGCAGATCCAGACCTGTCCTTGTCTTCCAGAGCCAGAGTCAACTCCAGGTCCTGCCCCTGCATCTTCTTCATCTCAGAGAGCTTGCTTTCCAAGCTGAGGTGAAACTCCTTCTCTGTTTCCGTCTCTGCAAAGGCCTTCTCCAGTTCTGCTTGGGCGGCTTTCACATCCTACAGTTAAATTAAATGCATTTGATGCAATTTTTCAATACAATTGGGAACATTTTGAAAGGAAATTAGATTAAAATATAAATATTTATGACTTTTTCTCCAGCACATTTCCCCTCCCTGAATGTACTTACTATACATGGAAAGAATACGTAATAAATATATTTGCCAGCCATTTTTCTCTCTGATATCAGAAGAGTAATGGGCACTTCCAATGGAAAAGAGTCAACTCTACAAGAACTGTACTTTTGGTTTTGAAAAATCAGATCAATATTTACAGCTTCAATGAGAACAAAAAGAAATGCGCTTCTCAATACTAAAACATGCATAAGTCCCAGAGTCACCCTAATCTCCATGCAAATTCATCCCACAGCCCACCGCCCCCCACTATTTCTTTTTAAGATAATGGCTACACATTTCTAAAATGCATTTCTGTATCTCCAAGGTGATTTAAGTGGTGAAGGGCTCTATGCTTTTCCTGAGTGCTCAGAGAAGCCACCATGGAAATTATCTTCTAAATCATTTAGACCATGTGTCTGTTGGGGGAAGGCTTTGGTGCGCACGCAAGTGATCTGGAACAGGCCTGACTCTCCACCCACACAGACCACTGCCTCAAGATCACACCGCAAACATAAAAGTCAAATAGACGTGGGTTCAAAGTGCAGCACTCCTATGATACTTGCTGTGTGACCCGGTTCTTATTCCAGAACAGAATACCCAACATTCCATCAATGAGCTGCTGGGAGACTGCCAACACCTGGCACCCAGAAGCAAAAGCCTGGCCTCTCTTCCCCACCCTTTCCACTAACTATCTGTTTAAGAGGCTTGTCTGTCACTCCATATTTCATAGGCAGCAAACAACAATGTCTGTTGTTTGCTGAGTGTCTACTAAATGCCAGGCTCTGAAGCAAGAAGTCTTATATCACATTTGATCTTGACCTAACCCTAAGTGTTGTAGACCGAGACAACAGAATGTTAGAGCCTAAAATGTGGCCAGATCACCTGACCTTTACCACCTGTGTGACCTTCAGCAAATGACCCGGTCACCTTGTGCCTAATATTTCAATACGTTTAAAAAAGAGAGAAAAAGAGAGAGAGGGAGAAATGGAAGTAGATAGCACATAGGTTTCTTAGAAGGATAGCTAAGCACACACGTGAGGCTTAGCAGGGGAACTCTACCTGTGGGGAGGTCTCATAGCTTAGTATGTGTTCTTGTTACTGCAGCCAGTGCTACAAGCTGGTGCTTCTGTGTTCAATTCTCACGGGCAAATGCTTCACCCAATGGGATAAATGCAGCAAGCTACAAAGCAGGAGCACTGGGAAGTACTCATGGGACAAACAAAGTGCTGCATCAAGAGGTGACAACTTTCTCAAGTGTCTTGATTAAGGGTGTGGTGGGTGGTGGTTGTGGTGACTTGAATAAGAATGCCCCACCCCCAACACCACAATACTATATGTTCACAGATCTAAATGCTTGGTAACCCGGAAAGGCACAACTGGGAGATAGGGTGTAGAAGGAGCTGCAGGCTGCGTTCCTGCCACCCGGCTCCCGGTATCCTGGCTAGCTTATGCCCCGAAATAAGAACACACAAATGGTATTCACTTAAACACTGTCTGGCCCATTATCTCAAGCCTCTTCTGGCTAATTCTCACATCTTGGTTAACCCATTTCTGTTAATGTGTGTAGCACCAAGAGGTGGTAACTTACCGGGAAGTAGGATTCTAGCCTACATCCATCTTGGGTCAGTTTCATCATGTCTGCCCCAGAGAGGAGAGGCATGGCGATTGCCTCACTTCCTCCCAGCATTCTGTTCTGTCTACTCCACCCACCTAAGGGCTGGTCTATAAAATGGGCCACGGCAGTTTCTTTATTAACCAATGAGAGTAACACATAGACAGATCATCATTTTCTCCATCAATAGGGGTTGTAGGATTTGGTATGGTATCACTAGAAGAAGCCATATCCTGGGGGGAGCTTTGAAGTTTCAAATATTCAAGCCAGGCCCAGTATCTCTCTCTACCTGCCTTTCCAGATGTATAGCCCTCAATTACCTCTCCAGCACCATGTTCGCTTTCATTCTTCCATGCTTCCTACTATGATGATAATGGACTGAACCTCTAAACTGTAAACCAGTCCCAATCAAATGTTTTCTTTTATAAGAGATTTTGTGGTCAAGCTGGGTGATAGTGGTGCATGCCTTTAATCCCAGCACTGGGGAGGCAGAGGCAGAGTGAGGCAGAAGGATCTCTGTGAGTTTGAGGCCAGCTTGATCTACAAGAGCTATTTCCAGGACAGGCTCCAAAGGCTCCAAAGCTACAAAGAAACCATGTCTCAAAAAACAAAGAGTTGTGATCATGGTATCTTTTACAGCAAAAGAAATGCTTAGACAGTAGTATGTGCTTATAATTATAGTATTTGAGAAGCTGAAACAAGAGGATTTCAAATTTGAGAGCAAACTCTCTACCTACCAGATCCTGCCTCAAAAATAAATAAATAAATATCATAATAATTATTAATATATAGATCAGCCCAATCTAAATTCTGAAAGGCTCGAAATATAAAACTTTCTGATTATCAACGTGTCAAAAGTAGAAAATTTAACACCTAACTTCATATGATGGGTTGTAGTCAAACATAGCCATGTTAAAATATTGCGCAAAATTCCCTAATTACATATATAATGCATACGTGAAATATAAATGAGTTCTGTGTCTAGTCTTGGAGCCCAACCCTAAGATATCTCATTAGTTATATAAAAATGTTCAATAATAACAACAATAATAATAATAATAATCTCAAGTCTAAACTACTTCTGGATCCAAGCACTTCAGGAAAGGGCTACTCAAACTGTTTTTCTTAATGCCAGCTTAAAATAGAGGAACACTGTCTGTTGTCCCAACCAGAGGCAGATGTTTAGCCGGGTCACAGCAGCCGCTGACAGAAGGAAGAGCACAGGAAGCTGTGGTGTCCACTAGAAAAGAGCAGCCACTCAGTTCTCCAAGATCCTGGACAGAGGCTGGCGAGAGGACAAGAGCCGGGCGGGCAGGCAATAGCCGAGCAGCAGCAATCTGAGTGCAGGTTTGCTCAGGGCTACACTCCTTCAGTGGGGCTCGGCAACCACCTGGGCCAGTTAGTACTTCTCTCTGTACCTCAGGGTCATCACAGGAAGGAGACAACGAGGTAATTTACAGGGGCAGAGTGCCTACATGAGGCCAGACCCAAAGGACACCCAGTAACTCCTGCAGAAAGGTGATGCTCATGGAGAAAGGAGGCCATCACACACTCCCCAGGCCTGACCACAGCATCTCCAGACTTACTTCTTCTAGAAGATGTATCCTTTCCGTCAGGAGGTCTTCGACCTGCTGCACCTTCCTCCTCGCATCTTCTTTCACGCGCTGGACTTCAGAACCTCCCCCTTTGGTGAGACTCTCCACTGCTTTGCTGCAGAGAGGCAAAGGGCAGGCTGAGTCGGGGGCCTGTCTGATGACAATTTCCCCAGCCCCAAAAGATAAGGGGTATTTGTCAGTCATTCCTCCCATTTGCCTGAGCTAAGTTTCCTTTAAAAAAAAAAAATAATAACACTTATAATTCAGAAACGGGGTGGGGGGTACTTATCCCACAGGATAGAATTAACATTTTAACACACAGCCTGTCAGGGCTCTACCTACTCACACAGAACCATGTAGTGTATACTAGTGAACTAACCTGGACAGTGAATCACTCACTATGCTGAGAACACGCTTTAGAAAGTCAGTAAACATGAATCTGCATCATCATCCTAACGACTGTATCACTATACGGAACATACTTTATGAAGTCAAGTCTCTAAGCTGCTTCTGATGAACATATGTGACTAACACCAAGATCTAAGAAGAGGTGCCTGGTACCGAGAAACTGCTCACTACACATTAGTGTTGTGACTTAATGGTTTCTAGGGACACACTACTAGAAGGGGAATCCCTGAGCCCAAGGGTAAGCACACTTTAATATTCTTGATGGCAGCTGCCAATTTTCCTGCTAGTACTCTTACACCAGAGGTATAGAAGGTGGTACAGGAACCAATGGGCAAAGAAGCAGCATGCAACAAGCAGATCTGTGAGGTTAGCATTTGCATGCTCCACCTTGCACCAGCCTGAGGGCAAACGTTTTAAGTACACCAAAATGGATCCAGCACACACTACGACTTAGGGTGAGAAGAGGGACTTGGGTGCAAGCACCCTGCACCTGGTATTGTGATATTAAATGTCCAGGGCACTGGGCTGTGGCCTTAGAATGTTCTCTCTGTGGGAGACACTAAACCAGACACAGGGCCATGAGCAGTGATGCAGAAAGAGAGGTGCTGGCTGCAGCTGTGAGACTTCTGTCCTCCCTGCATCCTCAATGGCTGCAGTCTCCAGAAGGAAAACTGAGGAAATGGCTCCACCTAAAGCTGGCTTCTCAGAAAAACAACAGCAGAAGAATTAAACAAAACTCCTTGCCACTCAGTACCTCACTTGACTCCAGGAGTATATTAATTTCCCTAACCCAAAGCCCTGTAACCAGATGCTCACACACTGGACCACGTGAACCATTCACCAGAACAGGGCACCTAAAGGGCTCTCCTGGCTGTCCAAGCTCCCACAGAAATCACCTGCAAACAGAGCCCTTATTGAAGAGTTTTCCTTTCAGCAAGGCTTCAGAAAGCCACCACAATATCACAATAATAGAATCCAGTGTGAATAACTGAAAGGAGGAACACCGGCTCGGGCTGGACAGATTTGCTTCTAAATTCTCACTCTATCCCAACCCCAGTGTGGCTCTGGGTAAAATTTCTAGCCTCAGTAAATAAGTTGTTATACCTCAGTCTCCTCATGTGGGAAATGAGATGATTACCTCTTGGAACTAATAGGCTACCACAAGGGGTCCTCTGCAGGCCTGCCTCAGTACTCTGCAGGTTCCCCCTCCCACCCTGCTGGGAGGCCTCTCCTGTGAGGCCAGGGCAGCACAAACCCTGCTGTGCTGCTGAGAGGCCTCCTGCCACCCCTCAGCTGGAGTCTGAGCTCAGAACAGATCAGCCCCTGCCAGAACCTAGGCCAACATGCTCCCTTCCTGATCACTGCCCTAAGTGTCCTCAGCCCCCACTCACTCAGCTCACTTCTGGGACCAGAGCTGTCTCCAGTTCACAGTGACTCACAGTCATTTCCATTACTCCTCCAGGGGCATTACAGACAAGAACAACTGTGCACTGCCTCCTCTCTTTCCCAAGCTGTAGACAAAGATTTTTACCTTTTCTGCATGTCTCAATGTGTGGCTCGCACACATGTGTATGGAGGACAAAGGGTGTCACTGTCTTCTATTGCTCTCATCCTTATTTTTTTTTAAACAGGTGTATCACTGACCCTGAAACTCCTTAAACATCATCCCCATCTCCCCTGCCACCACACCCCAGGTTACAAACACCTTTCCCACATTTGATATGGGCACTGGGAATCCAAACTCAGGTCCCTATACTTCCACAACAAACACTTAGAACACTTAGCACCCCTCCAGCTCCTACTCAGATGGTTCTGGTTCTGAATTCTTTTTACCTGAGTGCTCAGGATGTTTTAGCCATGGGGCTGTATAGCGCCCTGTATGGCCCCTTCCCTCTGCTGCACTCTGGACTCCCTTCCATCAGCCCAGATCTAATCTTGCCATTTCACGGCCTGAATCACATATGCTGTCAAGAGGCTGTACAATTTTGAACAACTACTAGCATTATTCACTTTGTTTGTGTTTTAGTTATACCAATAAAATAAACTCACAATGATAAATGTTCCAACGTTTCATTTATCATCTTTGTATTTTACAGTTACTGTAGCAATAAAATTTATACTCAGCAGTATGGTGTAATTTGCCTCTGATAATGGAATTGTTATTTTTTGTTTGTGTTTTAAAGCTACAGAGATAAAATTTATTCCCACCAATATGACTTCTTTTGTTTTTAATGCCCCCTTATTGTAACTGACACACAGAACAATGGAAGACCAGCACACAAACATGTTTACTTCACATCAAGCCAGAGTGGGCTCAGGAGCTGCAGCAGAGCCAACTTGCTACAATTCTGGGGCAAACTCTGGGCACATTCTGGGGTGTCCACTTGTCACCCAAGCCTCCAGAACACCTCCAGAATACCCCAGTTGCTCATAATGTGCCTCAGAGGAGCCTACAGCTATGGGGTTGGGGTGTGAGTGGTGTCCCTGGAGAGCTTCAGTGTATGGTGCTAGTAATTCTGTGGTGCCATTCGGTCTACAGGTCAGCACTCAATAAAGATTTAAATAAATTAACTTATTAATAGATAAAGTAGGTTTCTTCCTTCTAAGCATTAAAACCCAACAATTTCCTTTAAACAACATACTACAAGAGTCCCTAGGACACAAAACAGGCTTAAAACAAGTTACTAGCTGAAACCATCCCTCTGCCTCCCAGCCTTACCCACTAGAACCCCCTCTACTCCTTGGCATTTTCATCAGTGAGAACGAATGAGCTCCCAAAACACAACACAGGTGGCTTGACTCTCACAAACACGGCTGGGGAAGGAAGCTAGACCCAAAAAGGACCTACTGTATGATTCCAATTATATAACGTTCAAAAATAGGCAGAACAAAGTAATTGTGTTGAGAGTACTGCGTGTCCTGGGAAAAGGGAGAGGCTGTGAGAACATGAAGGCAAGGGGGCTTTCTGGAAGCTTGATGATGCTTCCTTTCTGGCTCAGATGGGGGTTTCACATAGTGTTTTGCTTCATACAAGTCCATCACACGTTGCCCTTAAGTCCTGTACATCTTCCTATAACTACAATACTTTAAAAACAGTTGACAAACAATTTAATAAAAACTACAAGCTCCAAGGAGCCTCAGAAGCCAGTCAGAAAACAAGTGGCTTAGAGAAGCAGCTGGTTGTGCTTCACTGCCCAGCCCAACACCCACCCGTGGGACCCGACGGCCAAGCTCTTGGTTGACGGGTACTCACGAGGCACTGATGAGCAACTGATCTCTCTCCTGGAGCTTCTGCTTCAGACTTTCCAATTCCACCTTGAGTTCAATGTTCTTCCAGAGCGAAAAGGTAAGAAAAGACACAGTGTAAGGTGCAGGAATAGCAAGCGCTGATGGTGGCCAAGCTACTCTGGCACACTTGCAATTGCAGATGTTACACTCAAAAGCCTCATTAGCCCTGAAGCACAGAAAAAGGGAATTATTAAGGACTGTGGGTCTCAAGAGAAAGCCCTGGATTCCATAGGACTTGGAACAATGATGTAAATGTTCCAGTGTCTAACAGCCAGAGCATTCAATCACCTAGGCACAAATGTCACATTAGCGAGGCTGACGTAAAAATTGTTTGCCCTCCACCAAGCAAATTTACAGTCTGCTTTGCCCATTTAAAGGCAATTACTCCTAGCTGTTTACAATCACTCATGTGGTTGTTGCAGTAGGAGCGTGCTACAGCCTTAATGAAAATAAAATAAGACTTGTGAATGGATAAATGGGAGACCTCAGTATAACCTGTCACATTTCAGTGTGAGATTTCAGGACACTCACAAAAAGCCCCAGCTTAGGTGGGAAGCCATCTCTAAGGGATATCACAGAGTCATGAACCTTTTTCCCCTTAAGGGACTAGAACAAAGGAAGTCGCACATGGCCCTGGGCTCACAACTGACTCACAGGAGAACACAAAGACAAAATTTATGGCAGGTGGCAGTCAGTGGGAGGCAACAGGGACATGGTAGGCTTCTCAGTTTTCCCCAAATGCAGTGGAGAGAGCATGCACAAAGCAGTCATGTCCTGGAGACTAGCATACGGCATGCAGAGAAGTGATAGCAAATCAAGATTTCTCTGAATTCTCACTTTTTTTTTAATAATGCATGTGGATTTTACATTTTCTTCTACCACGTTTGTATTTTTAAAATAATAACACTTTTATAAAATTTATAATCCAGAGGATATGTCTCCCTCCTTCCTGCCTAGTGGCTCTGGGGAGAGGAGCACGCAGAGTCAAGAGTGCAGTCCACACTGAAGGGCACAGGCCCCTTCACTGTGGACACTCGTGTATTCACTTCACACACACCTGAGTGCTAGTGATGGGTATAGCTGAAGTCAACATGACAGACCCTGAGAATAACGCAGCCAGCAGGGTGACCCTGTGCCTGTCCTTAGAGACACATCCAGAAGATGAGAAAGGAGAGCTGTGACTGTCAGATCCCATACTGTCAAGAGAGGGCCAAGGTGCCCACTGTGACGGGAGGACTGGAGAACCAAATACACACTGAAAGAAGCCTATACTTCTCCTTCGCTGTCAGACCGGAAGGCAAGCCTGCCCATGAGGCAGAATTTCTCTCTAGAACAACTGTCCCTTTGCATGACAGACAAGACCCAGAGTGGTGGGGCACAATATCTCCATGTGTGCCTCTGTCAGGAACACCCCACAAGCCTTGGGCTCCTCCACCAGCTCCCACAGGGCAGAGCAGGTATGGGCGCTGACAGAGTGTGTTCTAAGAGCATGGCTTGTGCCTGACCCGATGGCTAGCTAGCATGCCTATGCTCCCCATGCACTGTATGGTAAGGTTGGACAGCCTGGACTATTACCCTAACTTCAGGAATAAAGAAAGACTATCCACTCTCAGAATTGCTCTTCAACACTACATTTAAAGCCCTGAGCAGTGCAATAAAGTGCACAAGTGTGCACACACACTCATGCATATGTGAAATTTAAGGTACTCACATTAGATAGAAAAGAGAGCTGAAAGAATCCACAAAACGTTTCTAGCACATAAAAGTAACTTTGGCAAGGTCAGCATGCAAATATCCATTGTATTTCAAAAGAGTGGCAAAATGACCATAAATTGAACCTTTTAAAAAGCAGCTCCAATAGATCCAAAAATGAAAGCCTTCAGTATTAATAAGACACATAACTGTGTACTTAAAAATACAAAGCATTGGTGACACCTCCACAACCAATGGAGTTGACTTTCTTGGAAGTGAAATTCCCGGATAAGAAGACTCTACTTAACAAAGTATCAATTCTCTCGAAATTTACTTAAAGATTTAACACAAATTCTATTAAAATACTAGCAGGATTTTTGTAAACACAGGCACGCTGATTATAAAGTTTACTTGAAATAGTGAAAAGCCAGAGGAATTGAAGCCACCTTGAAAGAGGAGAATGTAATGTGAAGGTTGGAAATACAAATGAACGCTTCCAAATGTGGTCAGGTGAGTTCTGTTATAATGAGTGATAGCAATCAAAGGAAAAAGCAAGTTGGGAGCTGCTTCAGGAGCTTAGGGTGTCTGCCTCCAAGGCTGGGAACCTGTTTGATCTTAGAACCTACACAGTAGTAGGAAAGAGCCGTCAAGTTGCCCTTGACCACCTAACATGCACTGAGCCGCATACTGTCCATGCACACGCGATAACAAACAAACAAACAAACAGATTAATGAATGAAAGGGAAAAAGGAAAGTCTTTCTTTCAACAAATGGTTGGAATTGGATATCCTTTTATGAACAACTCACTTTGACCTAAATTACATCTTAAATAGAAGTTGATTTAAATTAACTAGCAGATCTAAATGTAACACATAAAATATAATTTTTTAAGAAAAAGATATATAAAACTATATTGTTGGACTCTAGAACAAGGCAGACAGTTCTTTAGATATAACACTGAAGGCATGATCTATAACAGAAAAAAATCAATACATTGGGCTTCATTAAAATTAAATAGTTGCTCTGAAAAACAGTGTTAAGAGAATGAAAAGACTGCTGCACTCTGGGAGAAAATATTTGCATATCACATATCTACAGAGGAATTATATCCAGAATACACAATAGCTCTCCAAATATAACTGTAAGAAAACAACTAAAAACCCAATTATTCTTGGAGAAAAAAAAGGCAAAAGACTTGAGCAGAATGTACACAGCAGAAGATATGCAGATGGTAAATAGGCACACACAAAAAAATCATTTCAACATCTTTAGCTTTTAGGGAAATATAAAACTATAATGAGAAGCACATCTATTGTAAGGGATAAAACTATATTTTAATTGACAACAGCAAATGCAGAAGAAAATGAGAAGAAAGCAGAATTCTCTCTCTCTCTCTGGGATGAAAAAGGGAATGGCCACACCAATTAAGAGTTGGGCAGTGTCTGACTAAAACCTACACTTACTACACTTATCAATGACTCTGCAATTTCACTCCAACTCACTTTAAAGAATGAAATATATGCTCACACAGAAACCTCAATACAGTTACTGCACTTGATTTCTAAGCATCGGAAGCTGGGAAGAAGTCACCAGCCCTTCCAAACCCTAATGGACAAACAGTCACCAATACTTAGAAACAGCAGTCACAGCTACAAAACGCAGACCATGAATGGATTACAACGACATGCCACCAGAAAAAAAAAAGCCTGTCCCAAACATTACATTAACACATGTTTCCATGTATGATATTCCAGGAAACGGAAAATGATAGGAATGGAGAAAACACAACACTAGTTGTCAGAGGTTGATGGCAGAGAGAGGGTTTGACCACAAAGAGGCAAAACAAGGAAATTTTGTTACTATGGAATTGCTATAAATGCTGACTACGGTGACGGTTACAAAAGCCTAGAACTGTACACTTACACACACATACACACACAAACAAAAAAATACAATCATAGATATCTTAGTTACTATCAGTTACAGGAACACACAAGTTAAAATACATCCAATACTTAAAACTGGTAAATTTTACTTTATATAAATTTATATTTCAATGAAGTTGAATAAGATAGACCTAGTATACACAGTGAGTTCCAGACCAGTCAGAAAAATGTTATCTAACAACAACAACAACAACAACAAATAAAGATAATTGACATAATGCAACTGAAAGATGGTTAAAATAGAAGAGCCAGACCTGGACTCTAGCACATCTTCACATATACATACTCATCAAATCCCCCCCCTTTTGACAATTTTAAAATAGTTAATGTCACATACTATTCTGTTTTTAAAGATTTATTTATGTGTGCAGTGTCTGTGTGAGTGTATGAACATGTGTATACATGCACATGGAGACCCGAGGAAGACATCAGATAACCATTTCTGCCACTCTCTGCCTATTCCTTTGAAACTATGTCTCTTCCTGAACCTGGACTCATATAGAATGAAGCCAGAAAGCCCCACTGATGGTCCTGTCTCTGCTGACCTTGAAGCCTGGGTTTCAGGCATGTGCAAGACTCCTAGGTGATAGGATCCAAAGCAAAGGTTCTTAACCACTGACCCATCCTCTCCATATTCCATCTGCACTATTCTTAACAAACACAGTTTTAGGACTGGATAAATGACGAGCATATTCTAGGTGTAATATACTTTTCAAGCTTTCTACCCTTGTCCTCTTGTTAATAATACTTAAGGCTTCAATTTTGTGATTAATAGAAAAGCACAAGAAACAACTGGAAGGTTCATTAAAGCCCCTTTTAAATGTTTTTTCCCTCTTTTTATTACTTAAAAAAATTCCAATCCAAATTCTCACTCCCTTCCCTCTTCCCAGTCCCCTCTCTCTCCCTCCACAGATTCTCCCCCTACCCTTCCAACCCTAAGGGAGATGCCATGCCCCCTGCTCTGTGGAAACTCCAAGGCCCTCCCTACTACATCTAGTCTGAGCAAGGTTTACATCCAGAGAATAGGATCCCACAAAGCCGGTACATGCGGTAGAGACACATCCCAGTGTCACGATCAGTGGCCCCTCAGTCTGCAGCAGTTGTCAGCCCCCTTCAGAGGGGCTTGGTTGTTCCCATGCTTGTTCACTCCCAGTCCAGTTGGAGTTGACTGAGTGAGATGACCCAGTGCCCAAAAAATGCTACCATTAGCTCAAGCAAACTGTCTCAGTGGATGACCTACCCCTTCATGGTCTTGTATTCCTTGCTCATACTCTCACTCCCTCCACTCTTCAACTGGATCTTGAGTGATCAGTCCAGTGTGGGTCATTGCCTCTGTCCCTGTCTGTTGTTGGACAAAGGTTCTATGGTGATATTTAAGATAATCATCAGTCTGACTATAGGGTA